CTGCTGGACCGAGCTGTTCTCCGGCACGGCGAACTCCTCCTTCTCCTTCGGAGTCTTCACGGTGACTTTCATGATCTTGGGCTCCGCACAGGCCGCGGCTGCGGGGGCGCCGGCACCTTCGGCCGCGGCGGGGCCGTCCTGCGAGCCGGGAGGGCCGCCACTCTCACCACTCTCGGCCATGGCGGCGGCGGCGGTGACTCAGGCGAGCACAGGGAGCGGGCAGAAAGCGGCCGGGAGACGCCGCGGCTGGCCTCCGGGCAGCTGAGGATGCAGGGCACGCCGCCGCAGGACAACGGGCGCGGGGCCGTGGAGAGGCCGCGAGCCGGGAGTGGGTGCCAGGCGCAGACTGGCCGGGCGCTCCACACCGCGCGGGGCTCAGACGCCGCTCCCACGCAGCGACATCCGAAGCCGCAGCCAGCGCCGCTGCTTCCTCCTCCCGCCCCTCCCCCAAGCCCTTTCGCCCGCGCCGCGCGGGGCACGCCGGGTAACGCGGCCGGCGGCGTCGCCGAGTCATCCCAGTCCGACGCCGCTTCCGGCTCCCCTGGTGTTCCTTTTCCTCCCTTGCTCCATTGGCCCGCGTGTAGGCACGGCCAGTGTGAAGAACTAACAACAAAGTCTGAAAGAACAGATCACTACTCTTTTTTTTTTTTTTTTTAACTCTCTTAATTAAAAAAACAAAACCAGGTCCTGAGGACACGGCGCCGGCGCGCGGGAATGACGTCACGGCTAGCGAAATTACTAGAAAGGGACTCAGCCACTAGGCGCTGCCCAGGTGCTTGCGCCTGCGCGCTGGCGACCAGGTAGTCTCCCCCGCGCCTCTCCGCCGGTGGGCGGCGCTTCGGTCCTGGTCCTCCTGCCGGCTTAGGTTTTCCTGTGCGTCCCGCGTTTGCTCGGTGTTTGCGTACTTGGAAGACTAACATGGCCTTATTCTTACCCTGTGCGCGGGAGTTGGAAGGGGAAGCAATGGAGGAGAAAGGTGCTTCTCATAACGAAAGAAAAAGGGAGTGAACATTTCTGACTGCTCTGAGTAATCCCACAGCATCATTGCTTCATGGCCGAACCGGTTTGGCCAGATCAGGCGGGCTGTATTGACCGTGTGCTCTGCTGCCATCCCTGGGCGAGCCCACACGCACACGCACACGCACACGCACACTCACACACAGTGTCCCGGCCTGTGGGCAGAAGCGGTGCCTAAGAAGCACCCGCCCAGCGGGGCAATGCAGTGTAGCTGAGGCGTCCGCTTTTATATTCCTCTGTCAAAGTAAGTTACTGCTCCGCATCAGACTTAACGTAGTATCAAGTGGTAAATTATTTTGAGTGTAATATAGATCCAAATTACAAACGGGAGGGCCGGGGATATAGTGGCATAAGGGCCTGCCTGCCTCGCAAGTGCAAAGTCCTGAATTCAATCCCTGGTACCCGGGGGAGAAAATTGTGAATTGTGCATTTGAAAAGATGTCATCATTTTTTTCAAGATGACTTGAAGAAATATACAGCCAAGAAAGTTTTACACAAATGTAAACCCTGACAGCCATCTGTGACCCAAATTGCAACGATATTCAACCGTGTTGCAATATTAAATACTGTTGCATAAACACTATTTAACAGAGCTCATTGGAATCTGGGTCAAAGAGAAGTTCTGAGATATAAAGTGCAATAGAGACGTCGAATGGTAATCACCTAAATTTTTTCCTGAACTGTTCAATAACGTAAACAAAATACAAGACCCTCTGCTGAAAATAACTATTTGGTTATATTTAGGCATGGCCAGTGGACAAGCAGTAATTTTGAATTCATTCCACACATTTAAATATATTCCTAGCATGAAAACTTTTTCTTAGTTCAATTGTTTTGAAACATTTAATTTTCCGAATATTGCTTAATCTTAATTTTTGTTCTAAGATTTATACTGTATCTTTTAATTACAATTTATTTAAAAAGACATTGTATGATATCTTCTAGTATTAGAAACTTTAAAAAGTATATTTCCATTTTCTGTTGACTTTAAAAAAAAAAAAGAGGTTTGTACCTATGTTATTTGCTTATTATTTCTTGCCTATGTCTTGTAATATGAGAAACTACTTTGGCAATAACACACAATGTACTAACCATTGTTACTCTCCTAAAATCTTGTTTTGAGATTTTGTACCACTGTTTCTATTTTTTTTTCTTTCTTTAAAATAAAAATAACTGATGTCTCAAAATAAATAAATAAATAAATAAATATATTCCTAACATCATTAGTTGGGCCTGGTTTCCTGGCATGCTGTATAGAGTGCACATGCTTGGCCTAGGCTACTTTCCCTGCCTGGAATGACTCTCCCCCTTGCCTTCACCTGCTTATCTTCCTCTTTACCTATATCAGGTTCTTCAGAAAGACTTAATTCCCTACCATTTAGAGACCCAGATATCTCTACTCTAGTAAATACTGTGTATGTTTCTCTAACCACACACTTAAGAAATTGGTTTGTAATTATGTGTCTATATTAATTTCTAAAAATTGATCTGCATGACATAATTTGTAAAATAATTTGTTAGAAGATAGACTTAATTATCCACTATTATGGCACTATTTAGACGCAGCCCTACTGTAAGCTAGACCATTGAAGGTAGGAGACCATGGTCTAGATTAGGGAGCTGCATGCTTCTTGGGACTGGTAGTTAAGAAGTACTCTAGGCTCTGGGATACAAGACCTCTGTCTATAATACCCAATTCTGCCTTGTATCACAAAACAACCACAGACAGTACTGTATATACTTAAAGAAATTTGAATTTTTTTTTTCACTAAAAAATGAGCATACATCTTGATTTGCCCCACTCTCACAAAGGCCTGGTCTACCTCTATTTCATGCCTTTTTTTCCTGAATGGTTTTTGTTTATGAAATGCTCTGCAGAAAAATTTAAGTATATTTCATCCACTCTATAAGCATTAATTGAACCCAAATACTGAAGTGAGGATACAAAGACAAGATTCAGTCTTTGCAATCAAAACAAAATTGAAGGAGAGTTGCATACGGGAGCAAGTAGGAAGAGATTGCTGGTAAATGTTTAATAACTAATTCTTCAGAAAACAAGACTTATCATGTAGAATTTGCCAATCCCTGATGTGTTCCTTGCAAGGAGCCAATTCAGGCTACAATCTGGAGATCATCTGACTCTCAAAACACCTGAAGGGGCGGAGAGATAAGTCAATAGAATAAGCGCTTTCCTGACAAGTGGAAGGGCCTGAGTTCAATCCCTGGTTCTGCAAAAATAAATAAATAAATATCACCTGAAACTTTACCCATCAACTCTCACAAGCCTGTATAAGCCAGCTCCAACTAGATAGATTACATGTTGCAAAAATCATCATTCAAATTTAACTATATTGTTAAGCAGTTATTCACATGATAGAAGACTTTTTCCTTGGCAAAATCTATCAATGAGAATTTATAGAATACCTTTTGGCAGTAGTCTTTGATTCTTTCATCCTCTGCCCAGAAATTTGGGTTCCATGCAAGACTGTACACACATTAGATAAGTGGTATAAATAGCATCCTTTCATCATGGTACTCTTCTACTCAGAATCCACCCAACTCCCCACTGCCTGGAAACTGCAAGCCTTCCACAACTAACTCCGAATCTGTCCTTCATCTCATACCTAACCTTACTCTTTACTAAATAATGTATGTTTAGCACCACTTCTAGAATAACTCTTATGTTATGCAGTACCTACTTCATCTCATTTTTATACATCCTCTACCTAATCACCATGGCTATCTCCTTTTTAAAGCCTTCCTTGAGTACCCAAGTCTGCAGGATCATTTTTTTCTCTGACCTCTGCCATAACTATTTGCACAATTCACTTGACAATCATCACTTCAAATAGATTATCTTGTTTAAACTCCATCCTCTGACAACATAGGTCTAGTTAACACCCTTACTAACTCTGACCTAGATACAGTAATAGCTGCATACAGCTGCACACCTGTGATCCTAGCATTCCAGAGGCCAAGGCAGGAGGTTCACTTGAGTTTGAGGCCAGCCTAAGCTACAGAGTAGGACCCTATCTAAAATAAACCGGCTGCCGGATCTTGAATAGACCCAGAGCCCAGGCCTGGCGTGTGAATGAGTTGACCCAGGGCCCCATAGATCCTGAATAGACCCAGAGCACAGGCCCAGCGAGTGAGTGAAACCACCCAGAGCCCACTTCATCCTGAATAGACCCAGAGTGCAGGCCCGGCACGGAACCCTTCAGCAGAACTCCCTGCAAAGAAGCTAGAGGAAAGACCCACCCAGCTGATTCAGGAGCAGAACATCTTGCCAGAGAGACACAAAGGGTTCAAATCCAAGGGCTGAAGCAGAAAGAAGTGGAGCACAGCAGCCATACCCCAGGCAGATCCAAGCAACACCCACCTGAAGGAATCTGAACTTCATAGATCCAGACCTGGTGCTAAGGTAATAACTCTATCTAAGTGCTACACCAAAGGTCAGAAGACAGTGGTATACAAAATGACAAAGAAAAGGAACGAAATGCAGTCTCAGGCCCCAAGTCCACCCAGTACAACTGCAGAAGACACTAGCATAGAGGAAACTGGAAATCACACCCCTAAAATCTCTGAAATAACAGTGTTGGAAGTAAAGAAACAACTGCACAAAGGTATAGAAGAAATCAGATCAGAAATAATTTCTGAACTAAAAAATGTAGTGATAACTCTCATCAGAGAAGTACTAAGTGCTTCTAAAGAATACACTGATAAAAAAATAGAGCAGAATATTAAAATGATGGAACCCCTGAATAAGCAATTTAGGAAAGAAATAGAGTGTGTGAAACAGATTCAAAGTGATATACAGAAAATTAAAACCTCAATCACAAGCTGGCAAAACTGTTTTGCGTGAAAGTGAAAATAGACTTTCTGACCTTAAAAACACCATTGCAGCTAGTTAAAAAGTAAGAAAAGATCTCTTAGAAACAACTAGGATGCAGGAAAAAATAATTCAATACCTGCAAGA